TATGCTGAAACATGGAATCACGTCAGATACGCATCGGCGTAACGATCGGCCTCGGATTACAATCAATCATTCGCGGTAGGCGAGGCCAGCAGGAGGCGGGTTTTTCTCAAAATTTATATCAATCTGCACCAATAGCTCAAAAACAGTGTGAGCAAAAAAGTTGTTGTTTTCAGCAATGGTTTGTACTGCTCTTTTTCTAGAACCCGAGTAACTTTTTTCTTCAAAACTCAGTTTGATTTTTCAAAAACAACAAAAGCTTTTTTGCCAAAAAATGACAAGAAAAAAGTAATAACGCAGTGTAATTTAACAATTTTAGAGCTGCACGAATTCAGACAAAATGGACAAAAAAGGCATTTTCTTGAGGAAAATAATTGCCAATATTGCTTATCAGTCATCTCTATATATATAATGAAGCTATCAGATGAAAATGATTAAAAATACTCTTTCAAACAGGCTGTTGAACAAAAGGGACGTGCGACCACAATATTTGAGTACTGACAAATAGAATTTCAGTTCAACAAATAATACTGATTTGAGTAACATACAAAAGATGAATTAATTCAATCACTGCAGATGAGAATTAACTTTATGTGGAATCTTATATTTTATACTTACATGTTGCCACATATTGCAATGTTATATTCACTGTACACTGTCGAATCACAAGTCATATACATGCTAACATTAATTACATACAACCTGGGCGCGGTGGTGATTTCTCATAATTCTCCTCAAAGTCTCTGAAAACAAAAAAAAACCGGGAAAAATCGTAATTTATAACTTTGACCATAACCTGCCTTCAGAAAGGACATATAGATAACCTGTCGGACACAGTTATAGATATACTTCTTTGGCAGCATATTCAGTAATTATTTTCTCACATATCAAATATCACTGATTTTATACTCATGCAGACCAATACAATCATCCAGATGCGATCTTGCTACTCAACCAAACTTTCTTACTTTGGCATCTTCTCAGAGATAAACACTACAGACTAACAATGCAAGTTATATCCATAATTACCCTGTATTTTATATAATATTATAATTTTGACCTGGTACTTGTATTTCTTGCTAGCATTGTCGCAACGCTATGGAATCTTATCTCGCGCCTTGAAGTTCACATGTTAACATCCTCTGTATCAGCATATTATATTTCTGCTGCATTGTACCAAATCCATGTGTGAGGAAATCTTGTCACTTCTTGTCTAACCGTCCTGTTTTACGCATCGTCGTGACAAGGTTTCACAAAAGTCCTTTTGTACCGTTAATCGAAATAAGGTTTTTTTAAAAACAAGTTTTTCGGTGGCAGTAATTTAACTAGGGGCTCAACCGGGATCCCTCAGCGTGTCGCGAAACGTGAAACGTGCACCGTCGGCGTCCGAATTCGAGACAATCGAGCAGAGTATCGGCCAGCCGAAATCACCAGTCATAGACACGCGAACTTTCAAGTTCTTAGAGGGATCCACAGCCAGCAACAACAGAGTGAAGGTACTAAGAACCAGCAGCATTGAGCGTCGGCCCTAAGTTCCAGAACTCCCGAAAACCTTGATAATAGAAGCGGTTCAGCTAGGAGCTTGTGCTGCATCTTTAGCGGCACAACCAGTCTACCGTAGAAACTAGTGAAGCCGAAGAAAGAAGAAAAGGTAGAAGACGAACGTTTTTTCAATGTTTCCCATGAATCTTTGGTGTGTGGTCGTGTTACTGTAAGTTTTTGAACATTTCTGCTGTTAATCATTGTTTTTTGCATAAACATTTCCTAGTGGTGATATTTCATCGTACGTCTCTGGAATAATTATATTTGTCTCGCGAATATTTGTAAATATTTTTGATTTCTTAGATCTTGTAAATTTCTGTGATACTGGTTATTGAAGTTTTGGTACATCCTGAGATTTTTATGCCTCTTTATCATTCCGATAGCGAATCAGATCGTTCTGACTCTGACAGGCGCCGAAACCGTTCTCGTGAATTAACAATCATGACTTCAGAAATTACAAGTCTAGAGTTGTCCCTTGAGAAAGATATTGTTCCTGATTATTTTGGCGGTAGTAAAGATCTTTTGGATTTTGTCACAAAGGCAGACCAATTTATAGAATTGCTGAAAAAGCCGGATCCAAATTGTGTGTTCAATGTGTTTTTTCATAATATTATCGCAAAAATCAAAGGCGATGCTAGAGATTTATTGAATAACAGTTCCTGGGTTACTTAGAAGGATGTCAAAGATATTCTTGTTAATAGATTCGGTGATAAAAGAAATGAATCTTGTTTAGCTTACGAACTTTCTCGCATGCATCAGAATAACAAAGAATCTCAGTATTTCGATCGAATAAACGAACAATTGCAAAAAATGTTGCAACAGGTAAAATTAAATTCGCCTCCTGAACTAATTCAGATAAAATTAGAAATGTACTGTAATCAGGCCTCAAAACGCTTCATTTTTGGATTGAAGGATCAGTATGGTAATATTTTTGCGCACTCACACGTGAATAGTTTACCAGACGCTTTGCGTAAAATTCAAGAAATGGAAAACTTTTTGTATGAGCGTTCTTTGACCAATTTCATGAGAGTTTCCCAAACCAGTACCAAATCAGAGGGCAAATAATTTCAATAATAGCTTCCAAAATCAGTTTAGGCCACAATTCCAATTGTCACGACCCAGAGTTGGTCCACCCAGCAAGACTTTGATTACTTGGAAAGTGAGGTAGCTACTTTTGAAAATGATAGTGCCCAGGTTGGAAATTTTCCAATTCCAGCATCGGAACGGAATCATTCGACTTAAATAACATTTACAAGCTTTCGAAGTTCCCCTATATAGTTCTCCCGAAGTTAGGCCTTAAAATATTGGTGGACACGGGAGCTACGTCAAACATTATGAACTCCGACATTGCAGATACCTATTTTTCTGAATTTCAATTTGAAAAAAAATTTGAAGTTAAAATCGCTAAATAAGATTTCTCATGGTTCAAAAAATGTTCTATACCCAATCCTGAATGAATTTGGCATCAATACAGTCATAAGTTTCAAGGTAGTCGATTGGCACGACAACTTTGATCTGTTGCTAGGGACAGATGATCGTCAGAAATTAGGTGCAAAAATTGACTATACCAATCAAACTGTTCAGTTAAAAGATCGATGTATTCCATTGGTTATCGAAAGGACTACACCAATCAAACCGACTCGCCTTGAATATGTCAATCATATTACTATACCAGTCAAAATTGAGAATGGTCCCGTCGTTGTTCCGGAATTTGAAATAAATGGAATCATATTTCCTGATTGCATATCTACGTCACCATACCTATTCCTGTAGAACACTGTACCCGGGAAGAGATATGTTGCATAGAGCCCATTGATGTAGATTCTTTGCTTGAATACAACATTAAAAAACCTGATATCCAAGAAAATGATTTCAATATAACTCAATTAATACGTACCGATCATCTCTCATCGGATGAAAAGCAAAAGATCCTCGAACTTTGCCAAAAATATAAAACAATATTTCATTTCGAGGGTAATCACGTTAAGCACAACATCCGATGACATACCGATTTATCAGAAACCGTTTAGGTACCCCCCTGTTCTCCAGGAAGAAATTGATATGCAAGTACAAAAATTGATCGATAACAAAATTGTGAGGCCAAGTATTAGTCCTTACTCCTCTCAGGTATGGATCGTCCCGAAGCACTTAGACGCATCCGGTCAGCGTAAATTTCGACTTGTTATTGATTATAGGAAATTAAATTTCAAAACCATAGGACAAATACCCATTGCCCAGAATTGAGGAAATTCTGGACAACCTTGGCAAATGCTCATTTTTTTCGACAATCGACCTTTCTCAAGGATTTCATGAAACTGCGATGGATCCTGAATCTATTGAGAAAACAGCCTTTACGGTAAATAATCAGCACCTCGAATATGTCCGGATGCCTTTTGGCTTGGGAAATGCTCCGGCGACATTTCAGCGCTTAATGGATGACGTTCTTCGTGACCAGTTGTATAAAAGTTGTATTGTCTACATGGACGATATTTTGGTATATTCCAAATCATTAGAACAGCACATTTAACATTTAGAATTCATATTTAAAAAATTGAAAACCTATAATCTAGATAAAACGTAATTTCTCCGCAAAGAGGTACCGTTCTTAGGTCACGTTATCACCGAACAAGGATTAAAACCCAATCCAGACAAAATAAAAGCAATAGTGGAATTTCCTGTTCCAAAGACCACAAAACAAATTAAAGGGTTCTTAGGTCTCACCGGATTCTATCGAAAATTTATTAAAGATTATTCTCGCATCGCGCAACCAATGACTCGAATCTTGAAGAAGGGTGCCATATTAGACACCACGAATAGGGAATATATTCAGGCATTTGAAAAATTAAAAGACTTAGTCACAAATTGGCCAGTTTTAATTTACCCTGATTTTTCGCAACCTTTCAAACTGACAACCGATAATAGTAGCGTAGCTATTGGTTCTGTCCTTTACCAGAAGGACCTCCCCGTGGCATTTTATTCTCGTACGTTAAATACTGCCGAAAGGAACTATAGCGCAACGGAGAGGGAATTGCTTGCAATCGTAGATTCTGTAAAACATTTTCGCCCTTATCTGTATGGAAAAAAAATTGTAATTGAAACAGATTGCAAACCGCTGACTTGGCTCTTTAATCTGAAAGACCCGGTATCCAGGAGGGCCTGGCTCGAAGAATATGACTATGATATACTTTATAAAAAGGGTAAAGAAACTTGCATCGCTGATGCCTTATCAAGGGCAGAACTTAACGCCGTTGATGACCAATTACCCTGTACATCTAAGGAAAATCCTGAATACCTTCAGATTCCTTTAGTAAGAGCATGTCTTGAGAATAAGCGTGAAACTAACCAAAGTTCTATACAAGTGGAAGTAGAACACTCTGATCAGTTATCTTTATACAATCCTTCTAGATCGGGAACGATGAACAATAATTACGAGCACCCTATTAATGTACTTCCTTTTTCAGAAAACCCACTGAATTATTTTAAATGTCAATTTGAGTTCAAAATTACCAAGAAAGGAGTTACCAGAAAGGAGATTTTCAAAAACAAATACAGATTATATGTGACGCCCAACAGTTTACATTCTCAGATATCACAAACACTTACCGAGTACGTCGATCCAAAAAATACATATGGTATCTTCTGTCATAATGAACCCTTGAAACCGATTATCACACAATTGGTACGCTCCCTGTTTGACCCCGAGGTTCATCTAATTTTTACAAATAAACTACTTTTAGATATCACCGGCGAAGGGGAACAAACAAGATTAGTCCAAGATTATCACTCAAAAAATCATAACGGCCCAACATGAAAAATTCTATAAACGCATTAATGAATTCCTGCGAGACCTGCAATTTAGCTAACTACGATAGAAATCCTTACAAACCGCCGTATGAAGGGCCGCTAATTGCAAAATAAACGTTCGAAATTATTCACGTTGATACTTTCAAAATTGATAGCAATAAGTTTTTCACTATTTTGGATTTATTTTCTAAATATGGGCAGGCCTATCATATTGCTGACGAGAATTCAATAACCTTGCCTGAAAAACTACGTAATTTTATCAGCCATCATGGAATTCCTGTAAAAATAACATGTGATAACGGAGCCGGATTGACAGCCAGAACTTTCAAAGAATTCTGCGAGTTACATAAAATCAAAGTCCATTTTACCACTCCTGAGAATCCTTCATCTAATTCTCCCGTTGAGAGGTTCCACAGTACACTTAAAGAAAAATTAAGTGCTTTAAGGCTTCAAAACCCGAAAACAGATATAAAGGAGCTCATCTTGACCACGATTTTGAATTATAATCAAAGTTTCCATAGTTCAACGAATTTTTCTCCCCACTCACTCATCTATACTCCTTTTAACAGAACAAATGTAACAAATATTGAATTAAGTAAGGACGTATATGAACAATACAACCAAAAGCGTGTTGACGAGCTCAAAATATTATATCAGTCGGTAAGCGATAAATGTAAGGAAAAAGCTGAAAAGGTTCTCCGAAAGAGAAACGAAAATCGCACTGAACGACTGGAAATTCCAAAAGAGACTACGGTTTTTGTCAAGTCCAGACAAAGGACTACGAAAATCAACCCCAGACAGGTGAAATCCAAAGTTAGAAATCAGAAAGGTAATACCTTGCGGTTACAGACTCTAAGCAAAAAACCAGTTCGCACTAGAAGGAATTTGCGTCAGGTTAAAAGAGTAAAGAAGGGTTTTTCTTCACATGGTAACCCTATGGCCGCAGAGTCTTCCGTTGAGGCTTCATCAAGTCCCAACCAATAAGGGTTTCTACCCGGAGCCATTGTGGGACGCAGAATTAATAAGCCATTATATCATACGTTTATTTTTAGCCATAATCTCAGCTTAATAGCTGATGTTATTATGCAGATAGAAGTAAGTTATAGTATTGTAGTAAACTGTTCTAATGAGATCAACCTCAAACCGGTACTAGAGGACCTATACAAAAATGTTAATAATGTAAAAATGGAATATTATCACCTTATATTATCATTCACACAGTAGAAGGCGTCGAGCAATTATTAACGGATTTGGCAGCATAATTAGGTATGTGACAGGAAATTTAGATCAAGATGACCTTACAGAAATCAACGATAAATTTCAATCATTAAAAGACAAGGAAAACGAACTTATATATCAATAATCAAAAATCATTCGCTCAGCTCATTTCACAAAAATTTGAGAACGAATAGGAAAGTTCGATTTTTTAGACTATTTATTCCTTTACGAGAATTTTAGATTATCTCAGACTCATCCAAGGCACAATATCCTTATCACAGAAACAGATGACAAATATACCTAGTTTTAGTCTTAATTACCATTCTCATATAAATAGCACTCTTATAATAGGTGTATTTGTTGTTATATTGTCTGTGCTTGTGGTAAAATTAAAAAAAAGTTCTGTAAAGAAAAAAAATCATCTCGAAAGTCAAATCAGTCTATTGAGATCGATAAGAACGAGGAGGTTCTAAGAGTTTAAGGGGGGAGGAGTTATATCCATCATCACCCTCTGTATCAGCATATTATATTTCTGCTGCATTGTACTAAATCCATGTGTGAGGAAATCTTATCACTTCTTGTCTAACCGTCCTGTTTTACGCATCGTCGTGACAAGGTTTCACAAAAGTCCTTTTGTACCGTTAATCGAAATAAAGTTTTTTTAAAAACAAGTATTTCGGTGGCAGTAATTTAACTTGCATGCGAGTCGTATCGTTCAGTCATTCATCCATTTATGGTCGCTATTGATAGCGCTCACAACGATGATAGTGAGCAAACATGGAATGAACTAAATATTTGCACCCTAAAAACTACTTAGTCTGCGAGATGACATTTCGTCAGTTTTTTTGACGTTTTTTAGTATTTTTTACATAATACCCGTGCGGGGCCCGTATCATTTCTACTTTTGCTAATCCGCCATTGTTTGTGAGATTTAAGAAACATTGTTCATCAACAAAACTAAATCATTTTAAAGGAATATTTTTCAATTTTCGCTCACTCGAAACAAGTTATCTATAAGGTTGACCGCTTTGATTCATGGTATGTGTATAGTTTTTGCTTAGAGTGAGCGAATAATAATAATAATAATAATAATAATAATAATAATAATAATAATAATAATAATAATAAGTTTATTCACGTAACATACAAATATAACTAAAACTAACATAGGTATACGTAAATAAACTGAATTTACCCACAGAAGAATAAATTCTGGTGCGTGGGTACTAACTTACATTTTACATAAATATACACATACATACATACATATATATATATACAGGGTTATCCAAATTAAGTGTCCACCATTAGTAACTTTGTTATTAGTGAAAATACAAAGTTGTTTGAATTAGCAAACTAGTAGCATTTTTAACGCTGGTAAAAATGAGAAATACAAAAAAACAATTGAGAGTCGTTATTTTGATTTTTTTCAGTAAAATAACATTTTTTTAAATGGAAACCCCTGTATATTATATTTTTTTCTGTTAAAGCATCAAATTTTAAACAAAAAAGTTCATAATGACTTTTCCGCTAAAGTCAAAAATAAAGTCAAAATAACGATAAATATTTTTAATTATTTGCAGTATTATAATATTAAGACGGCTATGAAAACAACATGGCGTTCGCGATTTGACAGCATTAAGATAAGCGACAAATTGTTAAACTGGACATACTCGCAACTAGAAGGCTTTGGGAAACAATGATAAAATCAAATAATGTCAAACATTAGTGTAAATACTTGTTTATAAGCTTTATTGTGTCATTAATTTAAAGAAAAATGTTCTCCCATGAAGAAAAGTGTGATATGTTAGAATGCTATTTAGTGTGCAGAAAATCCTCCTTGAGAGCAAGAGAATACTACAGTGAATTATATCCCGCTCGCATTCAACCGTATGAACGATATTTTCTGAGACTTTATCGAAAATTTAGGGGCAACGAAAATGTTTTTGCTAAAACAAGGGCAAAAAAAGAATTCATAATAAGCGAGGCCACGGAAATTGCAGTTATTGGATATTTTGAAGCTTATCGTGAGAATTCAATAGCAGATATTCTCAAGGACTCTAATTTCAGTTATGGTACTGTTCAAAGGATTTTAAAAAAATACAAATTTATTCAGTATAAGTACCGACCAGTTCAAACGCTTTTGGCAGGGGATCCAGAGAGAAGACTTGTTTTTTGCCATTGGTATCTTAGCTTCTGTCGCCAAAATGTAAATAACTTTCGTTACCTTTTATGGACAGATGAATCAAATTTTTCAAATTCTGAAATGTTTAATAGAAAAAACCACCATTATTGGTCAAGAGAAAATCTTTTGTTAGTACATCCAAGAGGCCCACAAGTCCGTTTCAGTTTCAACGTTTGGTGCGGTATAATTGGTTCAAAAATTGTTGGCCCGTTCTTTTATGAGGGAACCCTAACTGGTGAAAGATATGTGGAATTTATGTCAGAAATTCTGACTAATTTCTTAGACGAATTGGATCTTATAAGTAGACATCATCTGCATTTTCAGCAAGATGGCGCACCTGCCCACAACTCCAGAGGTACTTATCATTTTCTAAGTACTACTTTTAATGACCAGTGGATAGGAACAAATGGCCCAATACAGTGGCCTCCCAGATCACCAGATCTAAACCCACTTGATTACTTCTTGTGGGGTTACTTAAAGAACCAAATTTACAAGCGAAGGTACGATAACCTTGACGCGTTAAAGACTGCAGTTAGGGAAAAGATAACCCAGATAGATGGTAGGACCATACTTAAGACAGTTCGAGCAGTTGAAAAACGTGCCCAAAAATGTATTGAAGAACAAGGTGGTGTTTTCGAGCATCTTCTTTAAAAAAAATTGTTATTGTATTTTGTAAGATTATAAGTTGATGTTGAAAATAAAGTTTGTCGATACAATTTAATTGTTTCAGATTGGAGGCCATAACTTCAACAATTTGTAACCTAGGAGAAAAGTTATTATAAGCTTTTTTGTTTAAAATTTGATGCTTTAACAGAAAAAAATATAATATACAGGGGTTTCCATTTAAAAAAATGTTATTTTACTGAAAAAAATCAAAATAACGACTCTCAATTGTTTTTTTTTATTTCTCATTTTTACCAGCGTTAAAAATGCTACTAGTTTGCTAATTCAAACAACTTTGTATTTTCACTAATAACAAAGTTACTAATGGTGGACACTTAATTTGGATAACCCTGTATACTTCGAAGTTGAGTCATTTATTTTAACAGTGAGTAGATCTGATCAAAAGAAACGTTTTTTTCCTTTAACATTTTTCTGGTAAAATTAAAGTAACAAAGTTATAGCCCTTTAGAAGTTTGAGTACCGCCATGTCTCAATAATAATATTATGTGCTCGTGTTTGGCGACAACGGATATAATTCGCCTTATCGGTTCATCGCATCGGAAACAAAAAAGCGAACGAATTTGAAACGTTTATCACGATGTTTTCCGTCAGTCGGTAACGCGTGAGTGAATAGTGGTGTTTGTTGCGTGGCTCAAACGAAATAAAAAATAGCACATGTTTACGAAAATACTGAACTTGTGGACATGATTCTTATTTACGGGGAGTCTTTACAAAATGCTGCCGCGGCATCACGGATTTGTG